TTTTGGTACCGAGGATCGAACTTGGGTCCTTGCGCTTGCACAGCAGGCAGCAAAACCACTGAGCTAAATCCCTGGCCCAAAGATACTTTTTTGGTACTGGGGATGGAACTTAGAACCTTACACTTGCAAGGCAGGCGCCAGAACCACTGTACTAAATCCCTGGCCCTAGTCTGTCTTAATTGGAAAGTTGAGACTATTGACATTGAAAGTTGTCTTTTTTTTTTTTTTCAGTTCCGGGAATCAAACTCAGGACCTTGGGCTTGCCAGGCAGGTGTGGTGCCACTGAGCTATATCCCTGGCCCTGAAAGTTGTTATTGTAAGATGTCTAATGAATCATGTCACTTTATTATTTTTTCAGTACTGAATTCTTTATTTTTTCCCTTTACTCCCCTAGTTAGACATATACTTTCCTTTGGGCTTTTTGGTGTTAGTGGCCTCCTTGTCTCTGTCTAGGAGTCCTTTAAGTATTTCTTGCAATGCTGGTTGAGTGATTATGCATTACTTTAGGGTTTCTTTTTACTTGTTTTAGTCTTTTTTACTCTTTTTTTTAACTTTTTTTCTCTTCTCCATCAGTTTTGAAGGCTGATTTTGCAGGATATAAAAATCTGGATTGACTGTTTTTTTCTTTTAGGGCTTGAAAGTCTACTTCTAACCCTCCTGACCTTTTAAGGTTTGTGCTGAGAAAAGTAGTTATTCTGATGGGCTTGTCTTTATAGTTTACTTACTGTTTTCCTTTTACAGCTTTTAGTGTTCTCTTGTTGAATTTCTGAACTTTGATTATGATGTATCGTGTAGAGGTTCTTTTCTGGTTGCAGCTGTTGGGGATCTGTGTGCCTTTTGTACAGTAAGTCCCCGACTTACGAATGAGTTCCATTCCAGGAGAATGTAAGTTGCATTTGTTCATCTTATATAAAATCAGTTGTACACCTTTGACATAAATATGTAAAGCATTAAAAAAAAACCCAAACCTCCATATCACCAGTGCTTTTCCTTTTACTTCCTGAGCTCTGATTAAGCACTATACTACTGTACGCTATCACACTGTACAGTAAGCACACAGCAGCGCAACTATGATGATGTTCAGCAGACGTGAGCTATTTCTGCGATTTGTTCACATGTATGAATATTTATAATGTAATGTCCATTTGTATCTGTAAAAGTTCACAACTTGAATGTTTATATATTGGGGACTTACTGTATTTGGATATTTAATTCTTTCCATAGACTTGGAATTTTTCTTCAGTGATTTCAATGAATAAATTTTTTATACCTTTGAATAGGTTCAACTTTATCCTTTATTCATATAATTCTGAGATTGGTTTTTGTTGCATCATCTAGCAGCTGTCGGATTGAGCTTGCATGGTGTCTTGTCATTTTTAGAATATCAGAGTTTATGATTCAATCTTTTTCTCTATTTCTACTACTCTCCTTACATTGGTCCCATGTCTAAAACCTGATGAGGAATTCAAAATATCAGGTGGCATTAAATGACATCTGTTGTTCCATAAATCATGAGACCCAAAAAGGATAATAATTTCTTCTCCAACTCTAGCCTGCCTTGCAGGAGTCACTTTCAGAATAAAACCACACATTATTTGCAGCTTACAATAACCTTGGGGGTTTCTTGGGGCTGCCAGTCCGGTATGTTATTTCTCCCTGGCATTGCTGCCCCTCTCTGGGCTTATTTTGTTTGTAAATACAGTTCCAGACTGCTTTGTTCTTTTTTCTGCATTTTCTTCAGTTCCTCTGGTTTCTAGTTTTCCTGTCAATATTTTTTAAATTTTATTTTATCCTATCCCCCCCCATCAAGTCCACTTTCCTCCCTATGTACAAAAGCCTTGTTTCCATTTTTTCCTTCTGTTTTCACTTTTTTTCTTGTCACTTCCCTTCTCCCTTCCTCTCCCATTGTTCCCCTTCCATTTGAACACTTTCTTCCCATTTCCTAACATCCATTATACGGTTCAGTCCTTATTTCCACTTTGTTTCTCACACCAGAGAAACAATGTATTTAAACATGTGTCCGATTTATTTCACTTAAAAGTATGGTCTCAAGGTCCACCCATTTAGCTATAAATGGCAGAAGCTCATCCTTCTTTATGGCAGAATAGTACTCCATTATATAAAAAACCATATCTTTATCCACTCTCCAGTTGATGGGCATTTGGGCTGTTTCTAAGATTTAGCTATTACAAACTGTGCTGCTATAAACATGGATTGCAGGGAGCCCGCGCTCCAGCGTCTGGGTTCGCTTATCCTCCACACTGTCCTGCCGCTACTCACTGCCCTCTTGCCGCCCACCATGGCGCCGCGTCCTCTCCGGGGTCACCACCTCCTTCCACCCAGGCCTTGCCACTGGATCCTCTGCCGGAGCCAGCTCCTGGTGGGCCCATGTGGAAATGGGACCCCCACATCCCATCCTAGGAGTCACTGAAGCCTACAAGAGAGACACTAACAGCAAAAAGATGAACCTGGGAGTTGGTGCCTACCACGATGACAATGGAAAGCCCTATGTGCTCCCTAGTGTGAGGAAGTCAGAGGCCCAGATTGCTGCAAAATTTGGACAAGGAATACCTGCCCATTGGGGGACTGGCTGAATTTTGTAAGGCATCTGCAGAACTAGCCCTGGGTGAGAACAGCGAGGTGTTGAAAAGTGGCCGGTTTGCCACTGTGCAGACCATTTCTGGAACTGGGGCCTTAAGGATCGGAGCCAGCTTTCTGCAGAGATTTTTTAAGTTCAGCCAAGATGTTTACCTGCCCAAA